ATTACTATTATTATTATTATTATTATTATTATCATTATCATTATTACAATGACTGCAAATCCCGCATGCTAAATCCGTTCTGATCGGAATTGGTCTACGGAAATTAACTGGATATGCGATGTTAGTTTTTTTCTGGCTGAGATTACCGCCTGGAATTTAACCTAACATGATTTGAGCTTCTGGTTTTTTAGATTTTATTTGTATACTCATCGTGAGGATATCAAACCTTCTCGGTCCATTTCCGCTTATCATCTCATGCACTCATGCAATAAAATTTGATGTAATCATTGAAATTGCGAATAATTTCATTGAGATCAAACATCGTTTGGATGTGATTTATAAAATATCAGTTCTTCCATGAAAACAAAAATTAACTGGTGGAACTGAAAACTGGAGCCCAAGATCATGCGCGCAGACAGACGGGGAAGAGAAAATGGCGACGCTACATTCAGTGCTAGATAACGCTCCAGGGCAGGAAGCAATCTCGATCTCGATACAGTAAAATTTTTTCCCCTCAAAAAGAATCACAATGACTAATTGCATTGCAAACAAGTTACAAAGTATCTCCGTTGTGCAGGTTGTGGTTTAGTGTACATGCCTTTCGGTTCAATGGAAACTTTGTTAGCTTGGAGTTGTGACAAGTTGGTGATCACCGACAGTTAATGAACCACTGTTTCTGCAAGTTATTTACTTTTATTACACTTGTATAAATAATAGCCTCGATTTGACGCAGAAATATGCTAAGATATTTGTCCGCAAGTATTATTTGTTCCGATAACTGAACATCTTTCCGGGAGCGAAGCTGGAGGAAAACTGCGAGCGTTTTTATTATCCGTCAAATATTTCTGGTAACGTGCGCGGTTTTGAAAAGTTATAGCTAGGGTAAATTCAGTGGCGTAACACGTTTAGACCATACACTTGCGAGCGAAAAAAATTGACGGATTATAAATATGGGTTATTGACCAAGTGTGAGGTCAAGATGGCTGGATATTGGCCAGGTTCTTTTTTTGCGTG